ATCAAAGGTGAAGTCGCATGTTTTGTCAGTCAAACTATGATGTGATAAAAGACGACAAAATCTATTGGTTTAAATTTTTTTTACTTGTTGTTACAGGAATGCTGATTGGTGAATCCAGCTTGGCACAGCCAATCAAATCATTCAATTTAACTGTTGTCAAATACAGCTTTTCCTTAACATGATCATGCATGCATTCATAAGGAAGGCCAAGAAAGGCCGGCTTTGGCGGAACCATGCAAAACAGACAATGGGGAAACAATTGATAATGACTCAATAACTCAATTTTTTATTAATACAGGATGATGTTTCTTGGATTCCTAATAAACATTACTCTGGTGTATATGGACTCATGAAATTACTACTTACCAAAGTATTGCCGAAAGATATGGATAAGGTTAGTCTGCTTTCTTAAGTATTGTCATACATGCTGATATGGACGGATATTGTGGACCAGAAAATGATGAAATTCCTTGACAGAAGGGTCATGGTTTTGAATCCCACACCTGCAGTAATCAAATAGGGGTTTTCATCTAATGAGGAAACTTTTCCTGGTTTTTCCCACACTACAGGAAGATTTCAAAAGTTCAACTCATTATTGTATATATAATAAATAAATATTGATTATTGTCTCAATCAATTATGGATGTATTCACTAGTTATGTGATAAAATGAAAGATTTTTGTGATAGCTTAGGGAATGAAATGGTAGTTTTCATATACTGTAAAATATTTTAGCTGGAATTAATTTTCGCTGAAAAGGCTTTTTGGGCGTTTTTGCTTTGAATTTATTTTCACTGATTTTTGATGAGTTTAATGTGAAATATAGGAAAAAAAAGTACACTATATTTGGTGGATTTTATTTTCACCGAATCATTTCTTCAGTGAAAATAGCAAAAATAAATTCCAAGCGAGAATAAAGTATTCTACAGTAAATCATTTCAACAATTTTGCTACCATGTTATGTTTAATATGGTACCATAACAATGTATACAATGCGTGTAAAATACATACATGCTTTATTTACTTGAAATTCAACTCTGCACCATGTAGTGACTGTAGTGCTAACGTTAACCTTCACGTTTGTTCACTTTTTCCAGGTCATAGTTTTAGACACAGATGTTACATTTGCAACAGATATTGCAGAACTATGGAAAATTTTTAGAAAATTAAAAAATAAAAAGGCCATTGGTTTGGTTGAAAACCAGAGTGATTGGTACTTAGGAACATTATGGCGGAAACACAAGCCGTGGCCAGCTCTGGTAAGTCTGAGTTTTGATCTGTATTGGTTTGTTCATTTACATACATGTACGGTACATGTCTGTCTGACGTTAAGCCACCTACCCCTCTAAAATACATGATTTTTTGAGCGGAGTACCCTGGGCGAACTAATTAATCTGTCAATCAAAGGTGACAGTTGGCTTGTGTTGGCAGACCTTGCCAGATTAGTGAACGGTTGAAATTCATTCATATTAATTATCTACAATATAATTTCTATAAATAAGGCAACTTTCTGATTTATCAAGATCCACTTAAAAAGATTTTACATGAAACTTACTACTATTGCTTTTTTGTTTCATTGTCACATTCACGTCATAGTCCGGAGTCATTTCTCAGACATGTTTTTACCACTCACATTCAAACTTAATTAATACACATATTCCCATCAATTTTCATTACCATTTGATCAAGTATAGCTGACTGGCGGCCATTTTTGGTCCTCAAAATTGCTAAATTATTATGCTTAAGGTAGCAGGATAGTTTTTTTGCATGAAAAATGTAAACACCTATAATCCGAATAAATTTTACAAGAAACCATACAATCTATATATGTTTGGAAAGCTCTTGACTTGTATTTTCCTATTATTAATATTTTGTGAACATTGTGTTTGTTTTAGCGTCACGTGATTCTGAAAATCAGCGGGGCTGATAATTTAACTAACGTGAATTAAATTTTAATTGTCATCTCTACAGTCATTCATGCGATCAAAAACTTTACACTGTTTTGAAGCAAAGGTCATGAAGTTTAAATCCGTATTTCTATTTTTTGCATTAAGTTTTTTTTTTTCTTTCCGAAAATCACAAATTTCAAGCACGTTTTTTGGTGTTAAAGTTAGAGTATACCGGTGGTTTGCGCGAGGTTTGTGAAAAAACGCAATAGAATTTTGCAA